ATTCCCATTGAGGTGGTCTCAGATTTCGGTTGAGCAGGTGAATTTTTGATTCTACCAAGGCTGAGGTCTGTTTCCATTTCCTGACTGTGCAGGAGTCACTTTACATCCTGTACTGTTTCCCCAGGTGAGAAACAGCATTGCATACCACCGACCTTAGGGAGCTATTGGAAGTTCCTGCATATAACATGCTTAGCAGTCTTGGCTTAGCCCAGTGTACTCACTGCTCAATGTGTTCGCTGTTAGCATTATGGTGTTCACATCCTCATAGGGAGACAGATCATATCATACACACTAAATATAGCACAGTGAAGCCCTCTAAAGGAGGGATGAACAAAATGCCACAGGGGCTCTGGTGAGAAAGAAACATGAGTTCATTTATAATCAGTTTCATTGAGTTTACTTTGAAGTGGTAATCATGACCGACAGGCAGCATTCTCAAAAAAGGTGTCCTCTATGCTGGCCCTTGAAGATTGAATTCACCAGTGGGGAAAAGGTGGGAGGGGTGTCCAGGGAGTGGGGGGCATGAGTAGCAGCTGGCAGGAGCAAAGGCTCAGCAGTGTGAGGTGGGTCCAGGGGGAGCGGGCAGAGCACAGAGGATGCCAGCAGGGTTCAACCATCATGGCCGCATTAGAAAGCAATGTGGTCAAATTTGTGTCTTACAAAAATAATGCAGCAACTTCTATGTATGAAATACATAAAAGAGAGCCTGAAAGCAGGGAGCCTGTTATAAAATGGATAGTAGCTATGAGAATGGAGAGGTGAGGGCAGAACTGAGCAGGACTTGGGGAGGAAATAGAAAGCACTTGGTGACAAGATGTGGGGACAGAGGAATGATTCAGGGGTGACTCTGTATTATAGCATGGAAACAAGAAAAACAGGAAGGGAAGCCAGTTTGGAGAGAAAGATAATGAGCTCAGTACTATAAATATTAAATTTGGGTTATGTGTGGGAGAATATCCAAGTGGTCAGTTTAGAATATAATTCTGGGGTGCAGGATAGACAATCCAGGATGGGGGGAGAAGGGAAAGTAAGTTCCTGCATAAAACAGGAAGTGGCAATTGACAAAATCACACTTTCACAACTGCACAGCTGAGCTGATTCTATGAAACAGAGGATGCACTGCACAGAGAGTCCCCCCAAAGAACCCTTGTTACCCACAAAGCCAGTTCACTTCCTGTACCTTTGTATGCTTTCTGCATTCACTCTGCTCCTTGTCTTTCCTCATAACACACACACACACACACACACACACACACACACGGAGTTGAAGTAAAATGTGTGTATACACACACACACATATAAATATTAATTAAGCATCTATTCCATGCCAGGAACTGCTCTGGATTTGGGGGATATAAAAGTGAAAAAGCCAATACTCTACCATTTGGGGATTTTATGCTTTCATCCAGGAAATAGTAAACAAGTAACCAAATAAATATAAAATAGAATTTCAAGTAAATAATACACTGAGGAAAAATAAAGCCAGTAAAGAGGTTAGAAAGTTGCCAAGTTACCAAACAGGGAAGGTGAAATAGGGCGGGAAATAGAGAAGACAGCTCTGATTTCACAGGGCAAGCTTGTGAAAGTGACATAGAAAGCCCTGTGAAGATCTGGAGGAAAAGTTTCGCACACTGGGGGAAGGCAAGTATGAAGACACTTAGGTCAGAAGCAGCTTGGCTAGGATAGTCACAGGGTAGCTTGTGGCATTTCTGCTAATGTCTTGTATTGTTAATACTGTTGTGAAGATGTAAAGATCTTCATGGACTTCTGTCCTATCTTCCCAACTCTATATAAACCTCTCGAGGACACGGTCTACATTCCAAGTCATATCCCCACAGTACCTAAGAAGAGTGCTCTGCACATAGCAGGTGTTCTTTTCATAGTAGGTGTTTTAAAGACTTTGACTACCTATCACTGTACCCAGTCATCATCTCTAGGCCTGCCTCATCCCACTCTCAAACATCTTGGGGTTAATTGCAGCCATCGCTAAGCATCTGGCAACCAAGCAGTCAGCTATTTCTAGCACTGCTGTGGTCAGTAAGAAACTCGAACTACGTCCACAGCAATATAGCAAGTCCAAGCAGCCAAACTCTGCTGTTTACAAATCGGATGGTTTTACTTCAACTTCACTGTTGAAGAGTGAAATTTAAGGCAATTCTGAACATGCTCAGAGAGACTGTTGGCTTTGCCAGAGTTCTACACTTAAACATTATAATAATATTATTATTATCCCACAGGGGTGTCATGAGGATTAATGAGACATTTTCAAAGCACTTTGAGCGACTCCATTGGGGGTACAAAATAAATGGTGTGTATTCTTCCTGAAGTGGCACTTTGACTTTGATTTGTTGTGATGGGTTCTGCTGTCCAACAGGGCTGGAAATCGCCCACCAACTCATTTCCTATAAACAATGGACCAGCCGTCAGAAGGCGATGACGTTCAGTTACAAGAAATATGAATGGAAGTGAACAAGCTGGCAATGGAAGCCAATGGGCTGCTGGTAGAAATCTAGTGTTTATTAAGCACGCAGGGCAATCAACACAAGAGTTTCACAGTGTGATATAGTAGAGCAAACATCAGATTTGGAAACTGTCCAAGATTTTCAGCCCAGCGCTGCCACTAACTAGTTGTGTGCACTTGAACAAACGGATGAGCTTCTCTGGCCTCCAAAGTAATGTAAGGACTGTCCCAGGAAGCTCATCATCCGTCTTCCAGGCAAGGCAAATACATGAAAGGAATGGAAATAGTCCTTTCGGAAGAGTGATACTGCACAGCAGGGAGAAACTGGTGACCATCCATCACAAGACTATCTCTGCTTTGGTCATTGATTAATATTAATTTCTGTACTAATTCCTGCAAATGGAGCGATTATTCACTTTGCAAGTCAGACATAGAAGTGCACGAAACATTTGGTCTTTAAAAATAGGGTCTTTGCCTTTTTACGAGCCCTCCTTGCAGCAAATCATCTGTCTTATTCTTAGATCTAAATGTATGAATGATTGATTCCACTGCTACCCTATTCACCAGCTCAAAAACGGGGTTCCAGAGTTGGGTGAGTGACTGTGCTTTACAAGGTTGTCCCTCTATTAACATCTTGCAACACAGGTTACTGTCTGCAGGGCCTGGCACTGCCCTGGAGACATGTGAAAGATAAAGGGTCAGCAGAGGACATGGGTGCTGTTGCATCAAAAGGGCGGAGGTGAAAAGTCTATGGCGTAACTGAGTTCCCTGTATGTACAGCGGATGCTAAATAACTGAATGCTGTGCTGTGAGCTCAGTTTACCCTCACCCCCAGGGATTCTGGTAGGGCCCTGGGCCCAGAAAGAAGACAAGTTGACACTCCAACGTGGATGGATTACAAAGACTCATTTATTGAGGATTTTAACAAACATAGACTGAGTTCCCACTGTTTAGTATTTTGGTAGTTGCTAGGAGTGCATTGGAGAAGACCTGCTTTCTGTCTCAGGGAATCCCACAGCTGGGAGTGGCTGTGAGAAGCAGTGTCCACAAATCAGCTTACTTTCCAAACTGTCAGCGAAGGTGTGATGGATGAACCTTGACAACAGTCCCTCTTTTGTAAGTGATTTGAGTGATGCCACAGAAAACACATTTTTAACCTTAGGGTTGATCTCCCTTGGAGCTGGGAAAAGAAGTTGTGTTCAAAGCGGTCACAGGCATTGGGAGTAAACTCAAAGGGAAGAAAACGTAGGTTATAACCTCCAGGTCCAAAGCAAGGAATAGAAACACAAGTTGCTGGATGAATGTTCTGCCAGTTTAACAACTAGAGTGGCAAATCCCCTACCACAAGGCCAGCAGGGGAACCCGAGGCAGAGGTCTCAGGTGTGAATTTCCTTTTTCTTCTCTTGCTCCCACAGACAGAACATGTGACCACACTGAAAACACCAAGCAATCCCACCCAGAAACTCGGTCGTTTCTTCCCAAAGGCTAACCTATGAGCTATGCAAGTTAGTGCGAACGATTCACTACAGAAATTTGGGCTCTGAATGCTGCTAAGACCCTTTTTCTTCACACCCGGCTAGGAAACACATCAGCACCCATGACTCCCTCTGGCTCACCAGCCAAACAGGAGCCGAAATTTTTAGGGCCCTCCAGGCCCTGGTCTTCCCCTGGGGCTGCCGACACTGGTTGCTCTTGCACCAAGCGCCCACCTGACCTGCCTCTTGCTCCCTGGACTATGCTCCAGGGTCCGAGCCCACCCCATCTCCCCCATGCCCCCCATCTCCCTTCACCCCTCTCCCTCCTCCTCGCCCGCCTGCCCCTCTGCCACCTCCTCTGGGGAACCCACCTCCCCGGCCCCGCCGCGGGGTCGCAGATGGGCCTGGGACGCGCAGGGAAGCCCCGCGACTGAGCCGGGCCTCGCGGACCAGCAAAGGGGGTTGTTGCCCGGCAGCCTGCAGGCGCCAGGGGCGGTGACAGCGCCCGGGCCGGGCGACGGTGGCAGGGGTGTGGGGGACACCAAGGTGCCAAAGGAGGGCGCCACCGCCAATCCCAGGGGAGCTTGCAGGGGGGCGGCGGGTAGGGGTGGCCGGCGGCTCCGGGGGCGGGGCGCGCGCGCGCGGTGGGCGGGTACCCCGAGTGGGCGCGCGGGGCGGGGGCCGGCGCGCGCGCGGGGGGCGGGTACCCCGAGTGGACGCGGGGTGGGGGACGGGCGCGCGGGGGGGGACGGGCGCGCGGAGGGGCGGGAGCGCGCGGGGGGGGGCGGGTGCGCGCGGTGAGTTGGTACCCCGAGTGGACTTGGGGTGGGGGACGGGCGCGCGGGGGGGGCGGGCGCGCGCGGTGGGCGGGCACCCCGAGTGGACGCGGAGCGGCTGGGTCTGGGGGAGGCTGGGGAGGGCGGGCGCGCGCGGTGGGCGGGCACCCCGAGTGGACGCGGAGGGGGGCCGGGCGCGCGCGCCCCGCGGGCGGGCGGGCGGGCTGGGCGGGGAGAGCCGGAGTGGGCGGCGCCTCCTCGGAGGCGCGGGGCGCCCGCGCCAGACCCGGACGGAGCCTCGCGGCGGCGGCGCCGGCTGCGGCGCGGCAGCAACAGGCGGGCGGGCGGGCGCGCGCGGAGGGGCCGCCACCCCGCGCCGTCGCCGCGCGCCGCGCATGGACGAGCAGCTCAGCCTCCTGCGCTCGCCGCCGCCGCCCGCCGCCCGCCACCGCGCCCACCCTGCGCACGAGCCGGCGCGCGGCGGCGGCGCCCACACCCCGCTGCACCCCGGCCGCGCCGAGCCCGCCGCGGGCCCCGCGCAGCCGCCGCCGCCCCCCGACATGACGGTGGTGCCCGGGGACCACCTGCTGGAGCCGGACGCGGCGGGCGCCGGCGGGGACCCGCCCCAGGGCGACCGCTACGAGCCGCTGCCGCCCGCGCTGCCCGCCGCCGGCGAGCAGGGCTGCTGCGGGGAGCGCGTGGTCATCAACATCTCGGGGCTGCGCTTCGAGACGCAGCTCAAGACCCTGTGCCAGTTCCCGGAGACGCTGCTGGGGGACCCCAAGCGCCGCATGCGCTACTTCGACCCGCTCCGCAACGAGTACTTCTTCGACCGCAACCGGCCCAGCTTCGACGCCATCCTCTACTACTACCAGTCGGGGGGGCGCATCCGCCGGCCGGTCAACGTGCCCATCGACATCTTCTCCGAGGAGATCCGCTTCTACCAGCTGGGCGAGGAGGCCATGGAGAAGTTCCGCGAGGACGAGGGCTTCCTGCGCGAGGAGGAGCGGCCGCTGCCCCGCCGCGACTTCCAGCGCCAGGTGTGGCTGCTCTTCGAGTACCCCGAGAGCTCCGGGCCGGCGCGGGGCATCGCCATCGTGTCGGTGCTGGTCATCCTCATCTCCATCGTCATCTTCTGCCTGGAGACGCTGCCCGAGTTCCGCGACGAGAAGGAGTACCCGGCCTCGACGGCGCAGGACCTGCCCGAGGCGCCCGGCAACGGCACGTCGGGGCCCCCCGCGGGCGCGTCCAGCTTCTCCGACCCCTTCTTCGTGGTGGAGACCCTGTGCATCATCTGGTTCTCCTTCGAGCTGCTCGTGCGCTTCTTCGCGTGCCCCAGCAAAGCCACCTTCTCGCGCAACATCATGAACCTGATCGACATCGTGGCCATCATCCCTTACTTCATCACGCTGGGCACCGAGCTGGCCGAGCGCCAGGGGAATGGCCAGCAGGCCATGTCCCTCGCCATCCTGAGGGTCATCCGCCTGGTGAGGGTGTTCCGCATCTTCAAGCTCTCCCGCCACTCCAAGGGGCTGCAGATCCTGGGGCAGACCCTGAAGGCGTCCATGCGGGAGCTGGGGCTGCTCATCTTCTTCCTCTTCATCGGGGTCATCCTGTTCTCCAGCGCCGTCTACTTCGCAGAGGCCGACGACCCCGCGTCGGGGTTCAGCAGCATCCCCGACGCCTTCTGGTGGGCCGTGGTCACCATGACGACGGTAGGGTACGGGGACATGCACCCAGTGACCATAGGGGGCAAGATTGTGGGGTCGCTCTGCGCCATCGCTGGGGTCTTGACCATCGCTCTGCCGGTCCCTGTGATTGTTTCCAACTTCAATTACTTCTACCACCGGGAGACCGAGGGGGAAGAGCAAGCCCAGTACATGCACGTGGGGAGCTGCCAGCACCTGTCCTCGTCCGCGGAGGAGCTCCGGAAAGCCAGGAGCAACTCCACGCTGAGTAAGTCGGAGTATATGGTCATCGAGGAGGGAGGTATGAACCATAGCACTTTCCCCCAGACCCCCTTCAAAACGGGCAATTCTACTGCCACCTGCACCACGAACAATAATCCCAACTCCTGTGTCAACATCAAAAAGATATTCACTGACGTTTAATCTATGGTACAAGTGACATGCTGTGCTCGGTAGTGTGTGGAACGTGCCCCCTTGGTCTGCGTATGCCCTTGTTTTATACATTTCCAGACCATTCATCCAGGAAAGGACAGCAAGAAGTGGAATGCACACTTCATTCGCCCTCTCCCTACTGCTTCATACTGAAACAGGTGTCTGTTTTGCAAGCGGGCTGCATTCTCTCAGCTCTCCCTTTTATTTTATTTTTTCCTTCCTCTCAAGCTTGCAAACAAAAAAAACTTGACTTTAAACTTGACTTCTAGTACACACCCTACTTAAAAAGCAACACCGACAACTGGGTACATCCTGGGAGGAAATGAAACAGAAGAACCGGTAGAGTCACTGTTTGAACTGTTTAACCTCAAAAGCAAAGGCAGTTGTTTACTGAGTAAAGCAGGCCCGTCCTTCACACTTGGGTCTGATGGGCCCTTCAGCATCATTGCATGTTGAGTTCTGTTGCCTACACTGTGGATATGTGGATGAAAAGTCTCGTTAGAGCAATGACTTGTAAACCCGCCTTGAGTTTATTTGGTTTTTGACTGGACTTTCTATTTGGAACCCCCTTCCCAAATTTTTAAGGCTCTCTACTACAACGTGGAGCCAAGGGGAACGCCCAGGATGTTCTGAACTGACTAATTATTTTAACTCTTTGGGGCTTGTTAAGCATTTTGAAAGTATCAGACTAACAGATTTCCTGCGAAGTTCTTTGTGTGTGTTCCAGCCAACATCTCTCAAAGTCTAGAAACAGGTGTTTGCAGTGCTGCTGACCGAAACAAACCAACCAACAAACAAATTCCTAATGCATCTGAGAGATAAGCTTCTGCAGTATCATAAGAAGATTAAAGTGGCAGACACTCCTTCCAGCGGAAGTTACTAATTCGGACCTGACTGATGCAGTTCCCATAGCAACCCATGTTTCCTGGGAAACCCGAAAAAGGTTGTCATGGCATCTCCTGCTCTCTAGCCCCACCCCCTAGCCCCTGCCGTTTCCACAGTAACCTTTCCAGATGGTTCTTACTTACATGATTTCATAAGGAGAATCACTGTTTGAATAAACCGCACAAATAAAGTTATGTCTGAGAATCCAAGGTGGTGAAATGAATCACAAAACGCCTATTTTTTTTTTTTAACTACAAAAGATCATTGATCTCATCCCAGAATGACTGAGTCGAGAAGGAAAATTCGTCTTTGGAATGTTAGCTATACACCACAATCAGGTATGATTTGAATTAAATGCCAGTAATCAGGCAATGATTTTAAAAGATGCTTCTCTGCTGTTTTATTTCTCTAAGAAGTTTCAAACCAACAAATGAAATTTCACAACACAGTGTTCTGTACACAACCAAACGAGAGCGTCCATCAGTGTACCTGGGAACTTACTACAAGGACCTTCAGGCTTCCTCTTAAAAAAAAAAAAATCCAAGTCTCACCACAGCACTGTCACCATCACAGCACTTGAAAAGCTAAATAAACTTGAAAAATATACAGGATGCACGTTTTTAACTGAGGGAATTGCAGACAATCAATAAAAAGGAGGGACAGGAAGGAACCAAATCATGGGGGAAATACCCTCACGTTTCAGCCCTATGGCAGGGGTTGCCGGAAGACAGACAGAATCAGGTGAGCATTGTGCGGCTGCTGAGACACCCCTTCTTTGTACAGGGAGCAGGGGAATGCCATTTGTCCCTCCATTGGTGATGCTTGCAAAACCAGTAGTTTTAGATCATGTATAACACATTTTCCATTTGATTTCCATGTTGCTGTCTGTCCTTTGGTTTCCGTTGTTTATTGCAGAAGGATAAAAAACAAAGTCATTACTCTGCAGAGTAAGCTTCACCCAAACTGAGCTGAAAATGATTCCATTCGTTTTACTGACCCACTTGGCTTCTGAACAGCCTGTTTCCCCTTTAGAAAGAATAAAAGGCAGAAACCTACTGCTATTAGATTATTGGTCCAATTTTAATTTATGTAATTATTTGGTGGCATGCAGTGGTACATCCTTTGCAACAAAAGATGGTTAAGGGTGAAAGAAGGGGAATATGTCAGCATAATCTTTTTATTTTCTGTATGTTTCATTAATTATACACTACACACGACCCATGAATGCTTTTTCTTTTGATAGGGTATATCTGTTTTACTCTAGAGTAAATGAGAATAACTATTTTCAAAGCATATAAAATGTTTTCAGGTACCCAGAAGACTACTTAGTTTATTGTTTGTGAATTTGTAAGAGTGAAAATGGTGTTTGAGAGACTGTAAGGGGGAGAGGTGAGGGACGGAAAAGAAAAAATAGAGACAGGAAATCTGTATGCCTAGCTATAGAGTCATTATTCTTATATACCTGCTTGGAAATAGGGCTTCTTTATTTAGTGCCTTTTTATTGAGGTTACATTGATTTATAACATTGCGAGGGCTCTGAGTTTAGTGCGATGTGCTTTGATATCTGTTTATAATGCATTGTCATCCCATTTCCTTTGCTACTTGTTTGAGTTACCTTTAACACTGATCCACTTTTGACCAAAGTTTTGGTATTGTTAACAGGCAGAAATTCTTTTCATGACCCATTTCGATGGTAATATGTTAGAAACACTGTAGTACTTACATAAGAATGATTTTTCTATTTGTTCTTAAAAGACCTTAACGTAAAGATGAATAAAGTGCAGTGATAATCTGACATTTCTTCAAAAGCGGGAGAAACCCTGAGTCTTTCTATAAGTAAATCATGGTTGTGCCATAATTCTTGGGGATTGTATATTTACTAAATAACAATAACATGGAGACATTTTTTTTTTTTAAATCCAGAGAAATATGGCTTCTGAGTCATAACTTGGAGGTAGGCACATTGCTACTAGTCGCCATATTGTAAGCTCCTTAAAGGTTATAGGTTTGTGTTTTTGGATTTGTTTTGGAGTCTAGTGTCTGGCACAGCATGTAGTACTCTGTATACTACATGTCACTTATATAACAAATACGTATTTGATGTGCAAACAGCTGTTATTTTACATTCATGTTATTTTCAGGTGTTTAATGACAAGATAAAAGCAAAACTCTAAAATCACATTGCCAGGGTTTGAATCCTGATTTTGCTGGATGACCTTGAGCAAGTTACTTAACCTCTCTGTGCTTCAGTTGCCTTATTTGTAAAATGAAGATAATAAATAGTACCTTGTAGGGTTGTTACATTAAATGAATATTAAAATGTTAATACAGGTATATGACATGAGAGATTTTACTAAGAGATCACATTATTATTGTGATCATTACAAGCATTATATAAGTGACATGAGCTTTGTGAATGATAGGATACATAAATAGTCATTGTCTTCCTATGTACTTTCTATAATAACAATAATAATTATCATTTCAAGGGTCAGCCCTGTCCTAAACATTTCTCTACTCTGCAAGGTAAGTGGTATGAACCCCACCTTAGGAGGGTAAAAAAATAGATGGTTAAGATTAAGTGTTCAACAACTAGTAAGAAATGCAACTTTGAGTTAAACCCAGGTCATTCTGGCCCCCCTAAAACATATTCCTTTTATTGGATGACTTGAAAGAGGTTAAGAAAATTTCTTATGCTTTTAGGTTTGACTTTATCCCATGTTACTAATTAATGAATTAATTATTTTGGAGATTTGAACATATCTCCCAAAACCTATTTAACCCAATATGCTGAAAATTAACCTTTTTATAACCATCAGCTATTTTTAACCATAGGGTTCATATGTAAGTTATTTATTTTTTTTCATATGTAAGTTATTTAAATCAGATAAAGAGATTGACTTTTCTAGCAATAGATTATTTTCTTATATGACTGATTTGTCTGGATTTAATGTTACATGCAGAAAGTATAAACAGTCATGGTAGTGATACCTGCTAAACAATGGATATTTTTGTTTTAAGGTTACTTTCCTATTTTTATGTCTTAATCTACAATACTTACGTATTGTAATTGTTATGTAAATTGTTGTTTTTTCAATCAGCTCCTACTCTGCTTAGGTTACTGAAGAACCATTCCAGAAAGAGTGTAAACATTTTCTTTCTTCCTTATTAAGAAGGGAGCAATTACCTGGAACAAAAGAATTGAAAATAGAAGGATATTGCCAGTTCATCGAAATTTGTGACATTATTGCCTGACTCAGCCACTCTACGAATCCTTAATCTGTGTTCCAAAAAACATTAGGGTATAGTTTTTGTCCCACATTATAGCTGCAGCCCCTTCTTTAATGCCCTAAATCATTTAGACAATGAAAATGCATAGTGATTTGAGATGAGAGCAAGAGGCTGATGATTTACATGTGCTAGTTAGCTCTGCCTGACTAAAGGCTTCACTGTTGAAGTGAGTTGCATCTCCTCTTAAGTGTTGAAAGGTGCACACAGAACTGCTTACGAGTCACCAGAGCAGGTGAGACTGGATCCAGTCACCACCTCCAGCACCCAGCGGAAAAATGTATGTCCCCTAGAGCTGGTGGACTCAGACATTAAAGTCATTTAAGTGTCATTATTATATTTTTGTGGTATTTTAAATTGATAGTACACCAAATTTAAGTGCCCACCAACTATAGTGACTAATCACAAACAGCTGCACATAAGAGGAAACCTTCCTTCAGGTATTTCTAAACTTTGAACTAACATTCTGGGATTGAAATTTCAACTGCACTATAGAAAGAAGTTTAAAGCTATTGTTTATTTGCATAAAACTTGTTATTTACCTACTTGACAGAGCCAAGTAATTGTTTTGCTGATAGTATGAAGTTTAATATATATTTATAATATATGATGATAATCTGTTCCCTTGACAACCAGAGCTATAATTTACTGACTTCTATACATTTAAAATTGCAATGTTTTCTACAGAAGTTCCAAGTCCTTCCCACCTCTCAACTGTGAACAGAAGTGATAACCCCTCCCACTAAGAAATCCAAAGAAGCACATGTGCCCCCACCCAGTCTGAAGACTTAAGGAAACACTGTGAGAAAGAGGTGAGAAGCATCAGTGTGGGGACAAAAACATGTAGGATTATATCTTAGGGTGTTTTTTTTCCTTGCTGTTTTGTATTTGACCTTTTTTTTTTTTAAAGATTTATTTATTTATGCATATAAGAGCTGGGGTACAGGCCAGAGGTGTGGGGGTGAGAGGACCCACCAGAGACAGAGCGGGGAACAGAACAGTCAGATGGACTGAAATACACTGCTGAGGGGAGCAGCGGGCAAGTCAGGAGAGGTCTGCTGTGCCATGTGGGTTGCTCCCTGCTCGGGGATCAAACTTCTGCTGCAGAGGCTGCGGATAGCCTCATAGGATGCATCTTAACGCCTCGCACCACCAGGAAGGCCCTGTATTTGATCTTTTTAAGGAGGATAAAACTATTGCTCTTGTACTACCCATTTCCTGTATTTTCCTTGGCAATTTAATGTGTAAATTAGTGAAATTGTTTTTTATAACCTGTAGGGAGTGGTTGATAACCTTTGAGAGAAAGCAGCTGGGGGTGGGGGGTGGCGGGAAGGAGAGGGCAGCCATTCAGAGCCCACTCTTACTATGTGACTCAGCCCCTGACCTACCCAGGAAATGTCCCTGCAGTAAAGGATGTGAGAGGAGCATTCTTCCTATGCCCAGGTTCACCCTGAAACATAATTTAAACGACTCAGACAAGTTAGAAACAAATAATTCGTCTTTGTTTTCAATGATGCAGTAAACTAATTTTGCCTTTACAAATCTAAAGAAAAGCATTCTACAAAGTAACATTTTCAGGGTTTCTCTCCTTTTTTCTTCTTCTTTTTTTTTGTACTGGATGTGTTTCCTCTTCCATTTCAAAATTTGCATCAGTAACTATCAAGGGCACTGAAAAAAAGATCTGGAAAAAAGGCACCATCCTTTTCTTGGGAACCATTTTATTATTGTTGCATCCTAAAGAGTGCAGAATAAGAGTTCTGACATGAAAAGCAAATCCTGAGATTTGGGTTGCTAAAAAGATAGCATTTAAGTTAACAAAAAATGATGTTTTGTCATTTTTTTAAAGTTATTTATGCATACAAGAGCTGGGGTACAGGCCAGAGGTGTGGGGGGTGAGAGGATTCACCAGAGACAGAGTGGGGAACAGAACAGGCAGACTGACTGAAGTACACTGCTGAGGGGAGCAGCAGGCAAGTCAGGAGAGGTCTGCTGCGCCCTCCCTGGCCAGCTGGGGATCGAACTCGTGCTGCAGCGGCTGCGAACAGCTTTATAGGTTGCGTCTTAACCCCTTGTGCCACCAGGGAGGTCCCTCATCGTGTTTGAGGAATGTAGTGAATAAATCTGTGCATGCAGAGCTCTGAGCCTGCAGATTCAGGGATCATGTTTCCAATATGGTAGTAGGAAAGAAACAGCCCCCAGCCTCGCCCTCACCCCTACAACCAGTGCACAAAGGCTCTTCAGGATCTTACTGAGAGCCCCAACGTATTTTTTTCTTACATCATTGTTAATGTTTGTGCAGTAATTGGTGTCTCCCCTCAGGTGTAGTCCCCAGAGTTCTCCTACCAACATAGCACCCATGAACCTGGTGGCTCATGAACCAAGTCCCTTGTGCTGTTCCCTCCCCTGTTATGACCCCTTCCCCCCATACCTCAGATCTATGGTCAGCTTGCAAGTTTTGTCTTTTTCTTGACCCTTTACTCAGTTTCTCCATCTTCTGCATATAAGTGAAACCATCCGATATTTGTCTTTTTCCTTCTGGCTTATTTTGCTTAGCATAATCCCTTCCAGCTCCATCCATGTTGCCACATAGGGCATGAGTTTGCCTTTTTCGATTGCGGAGTAATATTCCATTGTGTATGTATAACACAACTTTTTGATTCATCATTTGGGGGCATTTAGGTTATCTTGGCTACTGTAAATAGTGATGCAATAAACATAGGAGTGCAGGTTTCCTTTTGAATTAGTGTTTTTGTGCCCTTTGGGTAAATTCCTAGTGGTGGATCATAAGGTAGATCCATTTTTAGTGTTTTGAGGAGCCTCCACACAGCTTTCCACAGTGACTAGACAGGTTTGCGTTCCCATCAGCAGTGTGAGAGGGCTCCTTTATCTCTACATCCTTGACAGCATTTGTTTAGTTTTTTTTTTTAATATGGAGCCCAAACATTTTAGAATGAAGGTTAGCATTGCTCTTTGAATATATTCAGTCAGTACTGCTATTCCACCTGGCTTTCATTAAGTTTATTTTAAACTCCTTTAAAATATGTTCTTTATGGAAATTCTCTCTGAATGCTAAGGTTCTTGTTTATATACATTTAAACATATTTCTTAAATTATAACATGATTTAATTTGGAAGAAAAGTCAGTGGGGGTGATTTATGATGCACACATGTGTATTTACATGCATGCATACACACACATACACACATACACACACTTGACCTGTTCACAACTTGTTTCCTATACTAAGATATGTTGACTTTCTGGCTATAAATCTGAACAGTCTAATTCTCTTTCTGAAAATTAGTGAATTTCTAAAATACTGGTTTTCATTCATGTATATATATATTCATATAGAGAGACTTTTAGAAATCATTTTTATTTTTTACACCCTCACTTAAAAGGCAGACTTTTATTACCTAGTATATTTATATCTATAGTAAGAGATACACAGCAGCAGTAAGTACAGTCTATAACCGAACTCTGTCACTTCCCCTCCTAACCATTGCTAACAAGAATCCACTTTCCTACAAGGCGGCCACGGCCACTGTAGTCCACACCACCATCCTCTCCTGGGTAAGTGTAGAGTCTCGTAACTCACCTTCCTACAGTTCTTGTGACCAACCTGACCCATTCTCTACCTGGTAGCCAGAACGACGTGCGACTCAGATCTGAGTACATTGCCCACCTGTGTTTACAATTCATCCAAGGCCTTCTCCTCATTCTTAGGGTATAGCCCCACAGCCTTATCGTGCCGCCACTGGCCACATGATCTGGGTCAGCCGTATCCTGCACTGAGTCTCCGCCACTCTTTCTGTTTCCTCCAGTTATAGGGTAAACTCTCTTCCCACCTCAGGCTGCGGGAATATTTGCAAATGTGCCCACTGCCAGTCCCTCAACACCATCTCTTTAACTGTATTTTTACTTTAATACTTCCTATTATGACTCTGGTTTCATAAATTCCCCTATTAGGTAAGTTTCATCAAATTTAAGGTACTTTAGATTATGGGAACCACCATTATTCTTGCGCCATTAAAAAAAGAAAAATCACCCATTGTGAGTAAAAGTACCGGTAATTTTTTTTAATTTACATTTTATTTTTTATATTCCCCATACAATCACAACCCCCTTATTTTGGCCCCAAGCCCTCCTTTCCCTGCCCCCCACCCGCCATAGAGTGTCTCTGGTTCATAGTTGTTTGTCAATTTTGATATTTTCTTTCTTAAAGTTATTCTTTTTCCTGGTCCCTTACTTAAGTTTTCTAGAGTCCTGCTATGAGTGAGACCATCCGGTATTTTTCTTTTTCTTTCTGGCTTATTTTGCTGAGCATGATCCCTTCCAGCGCCATCCATGTTGCTGCAAATTGCATGTGTTTATCTTTTTTGAATGCTGAGTAATATTCCATGGTGTATATGTACCTCATCTTCTTGATCCAGTCGTCTATTTCTGGGCATTTGGGTTGTTTCCAATGCTTAGCTATTGTAAACAGTGCTGCTATAAACATAGGGGTGCAGGTGCTCTTTGGAATTGATGTTTCTGTGTCCTTTGGTTAAATACCTAGGAGTGGAATTGCTGGATCATATGGTACCGGTAATTTTAAGGTGCATTCTGGTGTCATAGATGCTCAGATATGCACAAGCAGGTCTTAGAATGAATTGAATATAGTGTGTGATCTTGACATAGCTGTCACTTTACATTTTTTTGTGTGTGTGTTACGTGATCAGTGTGTTTTTCCCAGGGGAGTGAGGGCTGTATCTCTTTGTTCACCATTGAACTCCTTCCATTTGCTCCTAAATCAGCTTCAGACAGGCTTTCACCACAACCACCTTACCAAAAAGTGTATATTTTTCCGGGTCACTGGTGATAGAGCATTAAACCTAACAGTCCTTTCTCAGTTTATTTGGCTCACGAGAAGCTTCTAGCACTGGGATACCCCCAACCCCAGGAAGATTTTCTTTATCTGAAACCCAGACACAACACTCTGGATTTTCTTCTTAGCTTTCTGCCATCTCCTTCTCAATCTCTTTTACTGGTTTTCCTCATCTCCCTTAGGTCTTAATGTTGGAGAGTCCCAGGTGCCATGGCTTAGTCTTAGACGTCTTTTCGATCTGTATACACTCTTACAGCTTTAGACCATCTATATGTAAATTTTCATCTCCCACCTGAACCTCTTGCCTGATCCCAAAATTGAATTTCCAACTGTCTAGCTGAGATCTCTGCTTGGATCTCTACTGGACATTTCAAACTCAGTATGTTACAGCTGAGCTGACCTCCCTTCTCTCCCATCCTCCACCAGCAAGCCTATGTCTTCTGCCTCTTTCCCATCTCTGTTGCTGTCAGCTTCAGTTTTCCAGTTGCTCCAGCTCAAATCTTTGCAATAAAATCCTTGGCATCCTTCATTCTACTCCCTCATATTCCTTATCCAATCTATTGGCAATTCTGTTGGCTCCACTTTTTAAATGTTTCCAGAGTTTTACTATTTCTGCTCCTGCCTGAACTAAGCCATCATTAGCTCTCACCTGGATTGTTAGAGTACCCTCCCACCTGGCTCCCTACCTCCCCTTGAGTCTACACCCAGCACAGCAGCCAGCGTGATCCTCTTTAAACACTTACCAGATCATGTCACTTCTTCATGCAAAACTCCCATTTGGCTGCATTTCACAAGGACCACAAACTAAAGGGCTTGCATGAGCTGCAAGGCTCTGCCTCAGCTAGCCCCCTCTTACCAGCTCCTCACCTCTCATTTCCAGCCCCTCACCTCTGTGACCCTATACTGCAGCCATGGTGGCCCCTTGTTGTTTGGCAGTACACCGGGCACGCTCCAGCTGGGTCTTGGCACTTGCTGCCCCCCTGCCTGGCGTGCTCTGCCTCTGAGATCACCACTCACTCCACCATCTCCTTCAGGTGTGGCCATCCAGGGAAGTGTTCTCTGGCCACTGTGCTCCCTGTTACCCCTTCTCTGCTTTAATTTTCTAGTAGACTGGATAGTGCACTTAGTTCATTCATTGTCCTTCCTTCCTGCCCCAAGTGGCTGTTGTGCTGTATATAGTTGCAATAGTTGGTATTAAAAGGAATTTAGTCAAGGGAGGGAGGCAGGAGAGAGTATTTCCAATCAGAGTGTCTGTAAATGTTAAACACCGTGTTCCTGTTGTGTATCTCTGCATCATTTGATCACTCTGAGGTGTATCTTCCTTACTGTGCTTTTTTTGGGTAAAAGTCCTTATAATTGGCTCATTAAAGAGGATTTCCACTTGGTAAAACCTGCTCTGCCAAGTTTTCTGTACTAAGTACTGCCCAATTCTGTGGATGGAATGCCTTAATAGAAATAATTTCAATATAACACTATATGAGATGGCTCTCCCGATCACCAAGGGTGCTGGAAGTCAGAATGCTTCACTGTGGCCATGTGTCCTACATAATATCCTATAGGATTCTGTTTGTTATTGAGACGCACTATACATGTGTTGATTAACTCAGGTAATAGCAAAAAAGCAGAACAAAGACGTGATCCTTCCAGGAATATATCTATCTAGCAGACATTCTGAGGAATTTCCCTGTAATAAGTTCAGTCTTGGTTTCAGCAAATGGTGAGTCCTAAATATCCAAGGGGTCTTCTTTTACCATGGAGCTGACTGAATCAGGCATTAGAGATTTCATCAGTGAGTCACATTCGAGAATTTTAGTACTATAGCTATGGCCTTATTGGGTAAAATAATTTGTTTCACAAAATAACCTAATCTTTAATGTAACTGTCAAGTTATGTGGTAGCATGAAAAACATTAGCTTTTGTTTTGTTTCTTCACATATGAAAGAAGACAGAGACATTGTCTCCATGACAAGTAGGGCAGGTTCTTAGTGTGGCTTTTCTACTGCAAAACTGAGGCCACTTCCAAATACAATGAGCTGGAGGGCAAGGGACAGTTCAGTAGCTCATGTTGGCACTAAGTCCTAGTGGCTTTGAAAACCAACATGTGTGGTGGGGAATTAGTGAAACCAGTTAAAGCATTGTTATAAGTGAAGACTGGATATTGCCATGGCTTTCGATAAAATTGTAACAGGTGCTTTCCTCTGTGGTCTGGTTTGGGGAGTCCCCTGATGTGGATAAAGAAGATATTTCTCCACCACCCCCCCCCTTCTGAATTTTCTCCTTCCCCTGGATTTCTCAGACAAACCAGAACAGAGAATTACCTGGCTGTTGGTCTGTCCCAGCCAGGTGACACAATCCTTGCCAAATATGTCACTAAATTAAACTAATGTTGTGCTTGAGATTATATATGTAGACCAGTAAAAGTTAGAAACTCTTTTTATCTTCCATAACTTTATATAGTTAAACCTGCATAGGACAGAAATCTTTTCTCTCTTCTGAGAACATATTGTGTGGAATTTTAAAAGAACTAATATAAAACAGATATTTGAAATGAATACTTCGTGTTTGGTTTTCGTATTGTTTTTCTGATTTTTGGATAAAGAATTGTAACATGGTTCTTTTTGGTCCTTTTTTTTATTTAACTCAATATAACTTTTACTGGGTTTTATTTGGTCCTTTTTTAAAATTTAACTCAGTATGTGTTTTACTGGACATAGCCAGGGTATTAGATAGTCAAGAGGCAGCCTCATATACCCATTACATTCTGTATTTACCTCATGTTTGACTACAGGACAGAAAAACTAGGTACTCACTAATACATTGCTTCGATAAGAAGTAATAAAAATCATGTTCAACAAGAGTGACTATATGTCCGATTTCATAATGTGCTGGTCAACTAAAAACCATACACAGGAATTATTTCTCCAAGTAAAAAGTGTGTTTGAATTGCTTCGTACCTAGATTGTATAAATCTTTTATCAGCAATTTCATTGATTTCAAAAGGTAAGTTTATTTTTCTAGGTAACTGTGAATTGAGGATATTTACTAGTAGTAGACCTAGTTATTGCTCAAAGTAGTAGCGATTACACCTCACAACTTATTTTCCCATGACTTTTCAAATTTTGGCAAAACTCACATCTTAGCATATTACCAACTTTAATTACTGAATGCACTTAAACTTTTTTTGCTTGCCAAGACTGCATAATTTCCAGAGGCCAGTCAGAAAATTGTACATAATTGAGCAAGAAATCTTTCTAGCCCTTGGGGCCAATTCATTATCATTTAGCTGGCAGCATTTGTTGGTGTGCAGCCAACTGTAAGTTATTTAGTAGATGTCAGAGTAGACATGACAAAGTCCCCATAAAACTACATGTTACAGAATTATTTCCGCTCATTCCTCATCAAATGCAACTTAGTGCAGATACCAATTAAGTAAGCTGTAGGTATTATCTCTTCACAAACTTGGCAAATATAGAAATTTGACTGTTCTTATCTTCTTTTTTTGCTTTATATGTTAGAGCATTATTTGGTTATATATTCAATTGTAGGTCACCATTTTCTGTCGTACTTCCTCTTTCTGTAGAGCTGATTTTGATGTTGAACTCACTGACCATTCTAAGCCTTCCAAGCCATTTCTTAGCCACTAATACACTATTGTGAGTATTATACAGATAGCACTTTTATTTTTTATTTCGGTTAAGTTACAACTCTCTCTATACCTACATTATCAGGATGCCAAGTATACCACACTAATTTAATTGAAGTAGATACTAACACAAGGTTAAAACAAAAAAAATCCCAAACCTCTTATAAAAAGGATGTAATAGTAGCAGGACAAGAATAGCTTAATAGAAACATCTCAAGATGACCAAAGCTGAGTAGCTCTGAGTAGACCCTAGACATTGAGGAAATAAAGTAGGTAGAATTTCTTATAATTATTAGTCACCAATGCCTTTTAGACCATTGTAATTTAGACCAATGTAATGAAAATTAAATATACTGTGGTGTGAAAATATATCTTTGCTTTTTGACTACAAATCAATGTTAAGAAGTTATAGCATTCATGGAGGATGGTCAAGTATCACCCAGGCCAATAAGGAAAACTTTTCGGTAGATGATTGCCTAGCAAAAGTAGACATAAAACATTTAGTTTAGTGAGTGTCTGTTCTAGTAAAAGCACACCCAAATTCCAGATCACATCTGTAAGCACGTACCACTGCTTTTGAGACACCTGCTCAAACCTGGTATAATATGGGACACAGTCTTTTCTATGTAAGAGGATAGATAATATTCACATATGAGAACCTGGATCTCGATTTAGCATTTTCTGTTTTTGACTTTATAAGTATTCTTTATATTTCATGGTCAGTAAATCTCTGAATTGCATAAATCTGATTTTTCTGTGTCCATTTATTCGTTCATCCTGATTTCTGAGTGCCTCCTCTGTGTCCGGCATTGTGTCAAGTGATGGGGGGTTTGCTCGTTCATTCATTCAATATGCAAAGTGTCTCCTCTCTGCCAGAATTTATTCTAAGGTCTGCATGTGGCAGTGAACAGGTTGTCTTGCACTGTTTTTAGGAAATGCTTTTAAGCATTTTTGATATATTTCACTGAGCATAACCCCTTCTAGCTCCATCCATGTTGCTACAAATGGCATGAGTTTATCTTTTTTGGTGTGAGTGGTATTCCATTGTATCTATAGAGCACATCTTCTTCCTCCACTCAGCTGTTTTGGGACACTTATGTTGTTTCCATATCCTAGCATTTCTAAGTAATTTATTTTGTAGTTGGGGGAAGAAAGTACCCAGAATTCAAAACCTTGAATTTTTATTTCTTGGCTCTTCATGGAACCTGGTCAAGTGGTCATTGTTGACTTAAATTATGATTTCTTAAAGTGGTACACAACTGTACAAACTTCATATTTTGACAGATCAACAGATTTGAAAATTATTTTAATGACAAGGTAAGCTCTCTGAAACACCTAGAATAGGGGTTCCCACACTTCTCATTCTGAACTGTTTCTTGCTTCTCCTTTTTTCCCTCTCTCCATATACTTACCTGAACGTGGGATTTCTATTCACTTAAAAGAGTTCTTGTCTGAGATTACCACAGCCAGAAGAAATAAACCCTTAGAAATACATCGACAAAATTACTTTTAGTAGGTGCTCACAACCTTTCTGGTGATTCTAAAGAGGAGGATACATTTTCCCTTTCACAAAGCAAACAATGATGTTTGCTTTTTTTTGTTGGTTTGGACTATGTTTGAAAGTCATTATCAGTAAGAAATGACAGTTCATAATCTCAGCATACTTTGCCCCTTTTTCTGTCTCTCTTTTTTTAAAGATTTATTTATTTATTTATTTATTTATTTATTTATTTATTTATTTATTTATACAAGCACTGGGTACAATCAGAAGTGCAGGAGGGTGAGAGAATTCACCAGAGCCAGAGCAGGGAACAGAACAGGAAGACTGACAAAATAAACTGCTGAGGGGAGCAGCAGGTGCCACAAGAGAGATCTGTGCGCCATGTGGGACCTTCCCCAGTGGCCGGGGATCAACCAGCACTGCAGAGGCTGCGGGCAGCTTCGCAGCCCAGCTCTCAACCACTGCGCCACCAGGGGAGGCCCCTCTTTGCCCTTTTTTCAAACATAAATTGAAAGTGTTCAGTATGTGGTTAATACATTCAGAAAATTAAATGAATTGCATTTTTCATGATAAGAGAAGAATACAGAGTTTTGAAAAGCAAAACAATACATTTTATATTGGCATAAAATCGATATGTTTTTGAAAACTGCACATAAGGGTAAAAGATCTTGTTTACTTGTTACTCTGTTTGGCAGATCCCTGAAGATCCCACAGAAAGCACTGTGGAGCTGTACATACCGGTAGGAGGCGCGCTTTTAAATTGCCCTGATGAAGAACAGTCTCAGTTTTGCTGATGGCGGTGACACGGTGGTCTGCATGCACATATTTTGTTTCAGTTGACATTAAATAACATGTCTTTAATAAATGCTTCATAGAAAGGAGACAGCTCTGAAACTGGAGGATTCTCTTCTAATTGTGTGCAATATAAGAGATATCGATCAAGAGCTAAAGAAGAACATTAAAAATACTAAGGTATCATTTTAACCTTTTGACATTTTGATGATATCGAATCATTCAAAAATCAGTACCACTGATAAAGAAAACCTGTTTGTTTCTAGCAAGCCAACTATTATTGTTTTCTTCTTTCAGTTATTTACTGTGGAGCCATGAGATATTTTAATGCTATAGCCCATGCTTTCCATGTTCTGGATTACGTGCAACTTTATTTGTGAAGGTGTGTTTTGTACCAAAGTCTCATACCTAGGTTAGCCTATTTATACGTAAATAAGTGAAGTCTACACTGTGCCCAGATGAATGATATTAAAGACAGACTTGCCTAAAAGAAATGTGCCTTGCTTGATTAAGCATTCTTTTATTTTTTGATTCAAGATGATAGATTTGTGAATTAGTCTTATAGGTTTTAGCTGAGCTTAACTTTAAAAAATTTATTAGTATTATTATATTGTTTAAGTTGTCTATCTTCACTTAAATTTTAGCATTTAGTTATCTCTTCAACAGTTCATAGATAATGTACTCATCCACTCTAGTTTTCACAAAGTGGTGTGGCAAGACAAAGCACATTCTTAAAGTTATTTGCAATAGTTCATCTAATGTTTATAGAATTTCTTTTAAAATTCTCTTTGACTTATTTTCTATTTTTATATTCTTTTAAAAATGAATTTTTTTCAATAAAAAAGCAAAGTTTTCATTGGTAAAGACATTTAGGAGGTCATGAAGGTGATTTCCCATTTTGGGGATGTTTCACTTCTGTGCCATTATTAATGTATTTACTGTGACATTTCAGCAGAACAGTAGCTATTTGTATATTATTTAAGAAGCCTTAACTGTGAACATTAAGCATAAAGCAGACATTTTTAATTTCCGTATTTTCTTCTCAGACAATACCAGAACAAATACGTAAATAACCAGTCTCCTGTTACTCAAATACCTAACAATGCTAAGTCATAATAAGAGCACTTACAGAATTTCGATTGTTATCAAAATATTTCAGTAGTGAAGTCGAGATTACGATACTTTTTCATGCTCTGTATAAGGAAATACTGGTGATAAATTTTATTGTTAAGATATAAGAATCAGTAACCAACACAGTCTTACATCTACTAGCAGCAAAACAGATGAATAGGAGATAGAATCCAGGTAAATTTCTTTGAGGCAATGTCTACAATGAATTTTGCATAATCTGCTTGGTAATTTCTCTGTGGTCAAAATTTTGAGACCAGGTCATTCTAGGAAAAAGCAAAATAAGAGTGACAAATTTGAGCTATGTGAACCTCCAATCTGGATGATTTGTGATTACAGTGAAAATATGACCACTGTGCTTTTCCTCTATGTTAGCCCATGTAGTGGAGACTGACTCAGAGAATAGTCCATTCCAGCCAACTTAATACTTATGACTGATGATCACAGCCAGGTCAGCAATAAAGTAATTCACATCAGCTATCAGGTTGATTGAAAGCGAGCAATCAACTGTCCTATAGGCGGTCTTAGACATTCAGATGCTTTAATAAGGATCAGAAAGGATCAGGTGTTATAAAAAATACGCACAGGAATTACCTTCATAAAACACCAGTGACACAACTTTAAGCAGTATAGTATATTTAGCATCATCTGCATCATTATTACATCCTACAGTTTCAAGTAAAGACAAAATCAGAATGGTATCAAATGTCATATGGTTCACCAAACGAGTAGCAAATAGAGTATTGGCCTACATATCAAGAGGCCAGAAATCTTCCTTACCTATTGTGAGAGGGACCTAGAAAATCACTCACCATTGCCAGGCTTCTGTTTCCTGAATTACAAAACGGGTGTGCTGGGTTAACTAATCTCCAAAGCTCTTTCCAGCCCCCAAATCCTCATTATACACTTTTGAAAAGGTTTTGAAGAATATTCATGTACTCAGATTTCCTTATGCATTTCTGAAGGAAAAGATAAAGTGAAATGAGTTTTAAGCCTTGAGTGTTATAAATATATCACTTAATTGTGAGAAAAGGAAGTAGGATTTTTTTTCCTCCTCTAAGAATTGTCACTGGTCTATAATGAGATCATGGAAAAGTAGAAAAGTTCCTCTGCAGAGTGGAGACTGATTCATGAAGTAGCTGGAACGGTGGGGAGCAGGCTGTTTGGTCGATGGAGTTGGATGTAAAGGTGATGAGAAATTGTATATGAAATGCTAAACCGGCACCACAGCTTAGCCACACACTCAACATTATGGTCCCCGGGGGGCTGGAAAAGGTGGGGAAAGGTTGAGGGTTGGGAGAGCCTTTGATTCTTTTTGCAGGACTAGTTTGGTAGAACAAAAGCAGCTGCTATGCTCTCGTGCTGGTTCTGTCCATAGCTCACATGCCCTGGAAAAGTCCCCTGACCTCTCTGAGCCCCAGTTTGTTTGTATAATGAAGACTTTAAATTTGGCACATTACAGCTTTGAAAAATCTGTCATCTTTTAGGCTATTAAATACATGTGCATGATCACATTCCCCTCAGTCACTAAGATGCCATGATCTCTATTCATGGGTCCCAACAGACCACAAACCCAGACGTCCCTGTTTTAACATAGCCAGCTGACCCCAGCAAGATGTGAACCATTTCAACCCTCCTTTTATTTTTGACCATGGCTTAGTTTTTATGATGTATCACTTTATCTTTGAATGTTGAGTCAGTTCTCTAAATGAAACATTTATGGAAGTGAACCTTCCATTCAGATTTTTGTATTTTAATGATCACTTGACAAATCAAATATACTGTACTTACCAATGAATCCTATCTGATTGTAAGGTACATTTTTGTCACATTAAAAAGTCAACGCCCCTTTGATCCCAGAAGCGGTGACTATAATTTAAAATAATATTCACAAAATTTTGTGAATTTTGCTAACTCCAAAAGAGGCCCAATAGAGCCATATTATAATTCATTTTGCTCAGGAGTGAGAATCAGGAATTCAGGGATAACCCAAACACTTCTGTTTGGTGTTAGTGGACAGTTGGAAAGAGAAGGGTTATGTAGGTTTTGCACAACATAGATGAGAAGTAACTATATATTCGTTGAAAAACAGAGTAGATTCTAGTTGCTGGTTTTATGGTAGAAAGAGAGTAGGCTAGCAGGATGCTAAAAAGTGGAGAATAGGAGAATTGACAAGATGATAGTAGCCCATTTGAATAATACAGAAATATTTTGTCATACTGAGATTATTTGTCCAAGTTCTAGTCGTATATCCTTCCATTCAGAAAAGGGGGCAGTTTTTAAAGGCCTCTATCCTAATAGGAAATGTATATTTTGACTAGTAGAGCAATTCAGTAAAGTATTTAATCTGATCATTTTGGTTGTGAACCTGAATTTTTACTTTAGGTGTAATTGAGTCTCTTATGTGTTAGTGTTAGTGGTCTTTGTGAGAAGTAATTTCATCCATATTTTTAAAGTTGATGAAAGTTGCTAAATGGTGATTCTAGCATATTCTGTGTATCTAACAATTTGTGATCGACCCTACCGTACTAAAACATACCATAGTAGTAGCTTTTCCAGTAAATTGTTTCCATGATGTGATATCTCAATGCTGGGTTTGGGGTGGGGAGGTTAAGTATTTAGCTTACTTAAAATTGTCGATGTTTTTCCTAAATACCGTAAAATTATATAATTGTCAACCAAATGAGAATATCCTTTTTCTGTTCCACCTTGAGGGTACTGTCTAGACCATTTTTGGAATCACCCCATAAAATGATATGATTTCTGTTAAAAAGTTCCTGCTTATATCACAAGGGAAAGCAGACAGTTCATGTTGTATTTCTATATAATATACTAAACCCATTTTTGTGCTGTTATACAGATAGGTAGTACGTTATGCAAATATCACAATAACAAAATACTTTGAATTTTTCAGAGATGTCTAACATTTGTTTATTATCTCAAATTTTAGAAAGATCACTTATCTCTTATTTCGTCTTTAAAATGTCCACATGAAATAATAATATCCTCTGAAGTTTAAAGATTAAACAAGCAAGATTTGGAAAGATCAAGTAACTTGTCCAAAATCTTATGGCCAAACCATGACTCTAAATCTCATGTTCTTAAAGTAGTCACCCTCTGTCATGTTATTTTTTTTCTGTAACTGTCATTATCTTTAAAACTTGCAGTAAAATTTAATTTTAAATGAAATCATGGGAAATGTCAGGTTTTAGTGACAAGACTTTGTTGCCATCAGACCTTTTTAGAGAGTTCTGAAGTATGGTTCTTGCACAGAGTGAAAGCCAGACATTTTCCATCTAAAGCATAATGAGTCGACACCCCCTGACTATAGACACTAAATGCCAGCTTGAAAAATGACCTTCACTGGTCTTTTTAAATTTCCTTTTTTAAAAAATCTGTCATAATGACTGATTGCTGAGCAATTGAAAGAAGCAATAATGAACCCAAGAACTTGCATCATTCCCATGCAGAGAAAAAATTGTCAAACCCACAAAAGTAACCACTTTTCCAACCTGTTGTTTTTTATCACGTGTTCTGTGGTTCAGGGGAGAGCAAGAGCGGAACAGTTGTTGGGAAAATGATCTTATTTGAAGAAAACTTCTTATTTCCTTTCACCATCCAAAAAGAATTGGTTATCAAGTATTAGACGATTGCATGAGTAACATTAAGCCATAATTCAAATGTATGGTGAAATCTGTCCATATATTTAAAAGTCCACTTACATATTTTCCCAGATAAAATCAAAATCTGATGACTGCTTAATTTAAATATAAACATCCTGTGTTAATACATGACATAATACAACATTTTAATTCTTTTCTCAAACAACAGATAGAAACTGTTACTGCTTTCCCTTGTAAATCAACAATCTGTAATACATTCTGTACTTTTCCTTACTAGCAATGCAATGTTACTGTGAATATTTAAATGGGACATATGCTATATTATATCAGAATTTAAAATTTTTTAACAGTAAATTTAGTTCTCATCAGACAGAGAAGTCACACAAGTATTATTTTGTATGGAATGAAATAATAATCACTCTTAAATCATGATAATAACAAATAATGGAATTCTGAATAAAATGTAAAGTCAAACATGTTTTATATTTTTTCTATATTCATTTCCTTTTAACATTGAATTAATTTATCACATATTAATGTAAAGTTAAAATAAGCTAGCTCTTACACCATGTTCTCCAGTGTTCTTGTCATAATAATGTCAGGCCTTCTGTTACATAAATATTAGAAAATACCTGTGAGTTGATTATGTGATATTTTCATCTGACCTATTTTTAAAATTTGTCATTGGATTTAAAGTGTTTTCATTGCAAATGTTATATGCAGAATTCAATAAAATACCAAAAAAAAGTTGTTATATGAGTAATTAATTCCAAACTACTA